CAAGTTCACCGCATTGTGGAATACATCCTCAGCGGTTTTTATCCTCGTCGACATAAAACCATCGCGGTCTTTTTCGACATCGCAAAAGCCTTCGACCGAGTTTGGCACGAAGGCCTTATATTTAAACTATACAGAGTAGGTCTCTCCGATCGTCTAGTACGTCTCGTGGCCTCTTACTTACAACATCGTACCTTTCGTTTTAGATACGAAGGCACTCTCTCCTCACAGAGACCCATCAAAGCTGGTGTTCCTCAGGGATCAGTACTTGCTCCCCTCCTTTACATCTTGTACACCAACGATATTCCAATCCCATCAAATGGTGTACAGCTCTCCCTATTTGCAGATGACACTGCCCTTTACTTTAAAGGTCACACACTTCCTTCCGTAAGGAACAAGATCCAAAAGTCAGTCGATGACCTAGGAGCTTGGTTCCAAAAATGGCGCATCGATGTGAACCCGGATAAGAGCTCCGCAGTTCAATTCGATTGGAAAAAACGCCGAGTCAAAATCAATAAAAATATCCCACCGATACGTATGTTAGAAACCATAGTTCCCTGGCATACGTCTACGTCATATGAATGACAGTAACAAAGAAACGGCCCCCAGTCCCCGGCGGCCCCGCTATTCCTGGCTACGGTGGCGACCATGGTAACGGCGGGGCAGGGGGTGCTAAGAATCTCCGGTGGAGGTTCGGTTGCCACCTTAGACGACTCGACCTGGCAACGTACAACGCACGCACCCTGAGGACTGACGAGAAGATCGTGGAGCTGGAAGAAGAGATAGACAAGTTGCGCTGGCATATTATAGGATTATCCGAAGTCCGAAGAGAGGGGGAGGACACGGTAATCCTCGAATCCGCCAACTTGCTCTATCACCGGGAGGGCGACCATGTGTCCCAAGGAGGTGTCGGATTTATCGTCCACAAGTCTCTCGTTAACAACGTTGTAAAGATCGGGAGTGTGTCGACGAGGGTTGCGTACCTTATACTCAGAATCACCAAACGGTATTCGCTGAAGGTCATACAGGTTTACGCACCAACCTCGGCACACCCCGATGAGGAGGTGGAGGAAATGTATGAGGATATCTCTAGAGCCATGCATTCCTCCAAAACCCAATATACGGTGTTAATAGGAGACTTCAATGCAAAACTAGGCACAAGAGAGAACGGTGAGCTGAAAGTAGGGAAATTTGGAATAGGGCAACGGAACCCAAGGGGCCAGCAGCTGGCCGACTTTATGGAGAAAGACGGACTCTTTATGATGAACTCTTTCTTCCAGAAGCGGCCCCACAGGAAGTGGACCTGGTCGAGCCCCGACGGTTCCACAAAAAATGAGATTGACTTCATTATGACGACCAGACGACAACTGTTCAGTGATGTCTCCGTGATCGCGAGGGTGAAAACTGGTAGCGATCACCGAATGGTTAGAGGCACACTGAACCTAAACGTTAAGTTGGAGAGGTCTCGTCTAATGAAGTCAACGCTCCGTCCCCCTCGTGCTCTGTTCCAAAGTCCCGAAACCTTTCAGCTCGAGTTACAAAACCGTTTTCAGTGCCCAGAAGACTGCAATGAAGTGGACGATATGAATGACAAGCTCGTGGAAACTGTCCATGCGGTCGGAGCTAAGTTCTGCAAGACCCGCCGCAGAAGAACACAAAAACTCTCCGATCACACTCTTAATCTCATGGCTGTTAGACGGGAGATGAAGCTACATTCTTCAACAGACTTGACAGCATACAGGCATCTGAACAGACAGATCTCCAAATGCATGCGGCGGGACTTACGCAACTTCAATACAGCTCGTATTGAAGAAGCGATCGAGCGGAACCAAGGCTCCAAAGTCTTTGCCAGAGATCTGTCTGCCAGAAAGAGCCAACTGTCAAAGCTGAAGACAGAATGTGGCAGCATCGTTTCCGGGACACCTGAGATTTTGAGTGAGATTGAGAGGTTCTATGGGCAGCTGTACACATCATCGTTGGAGCCACACGCAAGTGTGAGTAACGATCCAAGAGCGAGTCTCATCCGACACTATTCCGAAGATATCCCGGACGTCAGTCTGAGCGAGATTAGAATGGCTCTCCAGCACCTTAAAAACGGTAAGGCCCCGGGCGAGGATGGAATTACAGCGGAGCTTCTGAAAGCGGGTGGAAGACCGGTACTTGAAGTCCTTCAGAAGCTCTTTAATTCCGTCCTCCATGGTGGCATTACACCGGAGGCGTGGAGCAGAAGTGCGGTGGTCTTGTTCTTCAAGAAAGGTGACAACGCTCTCTTGAAGAACTACAGACCGATTTCCCTTCTGAGCCGCGTCTACGTGCTGTTTTCGAGAGTCATTACGAATCGTCTCGCGCGCAGACTTGACGACTTCCAGCCTCCCGAACAAGCCGGTTTCCGAAAGGGCTTTAGCACCATAGACCACATACATACCCTTCGGCAAGTTGTACAGAAGTCCGAAGAGTACAATTTGCCACTATGTCTGGCGTATGTGGACTATGAGAAAGCCTTTGATTCCGTCGAAATTTGGGCGGTGCTGCAGTCCCTTCAGCGGTGCCAAGTTGACTGTCGGTATATCGAAGTGTTGAAGTGCTTATACAGTAGGGCTACGATGGCTATCCGAGTACAGAACCAGAATACGAAACCTATCCAATTGCAGAGAGGTGTAAGACAGGGTGACGTCATATCCCCGAAACTCTTCACCGCTGCATTGGAAGACGTTTTCAAGCTTCTGGACTGGAAAGGATACGGTATCAACATCAATGGCGAGTACATCACTCACCTTCGATTTGCCGACGATATAGTCCTTATGGCAGAATCGCTGGAGGACCTAAGCACTATGCTTAGGTCCTCCAGCCTTAAGTCAGCAGTCTTAAGATGAACATGGACAAAACAAAGATCATGTTTAATGTCCATGTCACACCTATGCCGGTAGTTGTTGGGAGCACTAAGCTCGAAGTTGTTGACGAGTATGTTTACCTGGGACAAATAGTCCGACTAGGTAAGTCCAACTTCGACCGAGAGGTCAATCGACGGATTCAACTCGGCTGGGCAGCGTTCGGGAAGCTACGACACATCTTCTCGTCAGACATACCTCAAAACCTGAAAACGAAATTGTACAACCAGTGCGTGTTGCCAGTGATGACTTACGGAACTGAGACGTGGTCCTTCACTGCTGGTCGTATGAGGAAGCTCAAGGTCGCTCAGCGAGCTATGGAGAGGGCTATGCTCGGAGTTTCTCTGCGTGATAAACTTAGGAATGAGGATATCCGCAGTAGAACCAGAGTGACCGACATAGCCCAACGGATTAGTAAGCTGAAGTGGAAGTGGGCCGGCCATATAGCTCGAAGAACCGACAACCGATGGGGAAGAAAGGTTCTCGAGTGGCAGCCTCGTACCGGTAGGCGAAGTGTAGGGCGTCCCCCCACGAGATGGAGTGACGACCTGGTAAGACATGCAGGAAGTCGATGGATGCAGGTGGCTCAGGACCGTGCTTTGTGGCATTCTTTGGGGGAGGCCTTTGTTCAGCAGTGGACTTGTGAAGGGCTGTAATGATGATGATGAGTGATGATACGTCTGCTAAATATTTAGGTGTCACCCTTGACACAAGGCTTACTTTTGAGCCTCATATCAAAAGAGTCACCCGTCTAGCACGGTTTTATCTAGGTAGGCTTAACAGTATGTTAGGTCGACGTAGTAAAATGTCTCTAAGAAATAAGCGAACCCTCTATAAGGTTTGTATACGCCCGGTAATGTCTTACGCGGCCCCTATTTTTGCACACGCAAACTCTAAAAACTTAAACGAACTACAAATAGTACAAAATCTCTTCTGTCGTCGAGCTACGAACGCACCTTGGTACGTCCGTAATGCCGACCTTCATAGGGATTTAGAAATCCCAACAATACAACAATTTATCAAAAAACTCTCTGAAAACTTCTTTAAAGTCTCAGAGTCGCATAGTAACGCATTAATTCGTGAGGCAGCTACTTATGCAGCCCCACTCCCCTCCCGCTATCGTGTCCGTAGGCCGAGAAACTCTCTCTCGGATCTACCAAATAAACTTTCAAACGACTTGAACCGCCTCCTGGCGGCTTAGTCAAATTCATAATTAATTAAATTGTATTCATAATTAAAATGCCTTCGTAGGCACTCCCTCAGCGGCTTATAGCCGCCTGCGCCCTCTTTTTCCCAAAAGAGGGTCGCTTTACGACACGGCATGTGCAGCTTTAAACAGCTAGTTGTCAGTCCCCAAAGGCGGTTTTTAGGGGGTATCACATAGGCTCCCCGGTTAGGCGTGAGTCCCCCAATAACCACGATGGATAGCCATCGTGGTATGCGTAATGCATTTTCCGCCTCCCGTAAAGGGTAGCCCTTTTCCAATTGCTTCGGGCGCAAAAAAAAACTACTACTCCGGAGCGTTGGCCGCCCCCCGGGCAGCACACCTTGCCCGGCGGGAGATCTCCCCTTTTCCTTCCACCGGCCACAAACTTATGTCATCTAGTTTCATGCTGTGAGGTGCACGCAAACTATCTGTTTCTTGTTATCGTGTATTACCAGCGCTGGGGTGCGCGCATCTTTTTCTCATAGTTTCATCATTCAATAGCAAGTTAGGAAAACTCGATGTAAGCTCGGGTGTATAGTGACGTTAAAGAAAGGCCCGTGAATTTAGAAATCGTGTAATTTATTCACTAACACAATATGGATTAAAAAAATGGATGTTCTTTTTTCATACTAAATATAAGTAGACTTAGAGTACTATTATTTATTCTGTGGTTTAGATAATTCTTGAGATATAATGTATATATTTTTTCTTTCTAAAAAAGTATATAATGTTTCCATTATATTATATATACCTACTATTTATATATAATCAAATGATTTCAGTAGCACAATTCTGTCAATCAATCGGTAGATAACGTTATAACAATATTGTGTAACTGTTTGTTGTTCTAATAATAAAACAAAATAAATATTTATTGAAATTCCAGTAGAAACTTTTATATGCATCAATCACTCCGTGAAATCCGAATTCTTATTGATTTTGCAGTTGAGAAACTTTTGAGTTTCTTGGACCAATTTCGGAAATGATGGATCTAGAAGGCACAGTTTAACGAAGTTCTTAAAAGATGGTGGTAAATCAGTAGTACAACTGGTGAGGTCTGTAAGAAAACATCACGGACTTTGAATATAACTAACGGGTACTTTAGTTTAATGATTCAAGGTCACGAAACGACAAATTTTTTTCAATAAAAGCAGTTGAATTACTGTTATATATTAATGTTTAGTATTTACATAAATACAAGAAACCAGCTGATATCCAAACGCTTCACTGGGCGCACGATAATATTTTACTGTGGAAACTAGATGTAAAATATCAAGATTTTTTTTGATGGGACTATCGTAAAATCCGTTCTTAGTGAGCGTCTACATTGCGAAATGAGTAACTATACTAAATTTCAAGTCAATCGGGTTCATGGGCGTATAAAAAAAGGACTTTTTTATATTTTAATGTTTGGGTGTATAGTTTTTTTTTAGAAGAGTGGGCAAACGAGCATGCAGTTCACCTGATGGTAAATGACTACCGCCGCCCATGAACAACCGCAAGACCAAGGGAGTTGCAGCTGCGTTACCGGTCTTTTAAAAAGGTGTACCTAAGCTCTTTTCTTGAAGGTCCCTAAGTCGTATCGGTCCGGAAAACTCGCCGGTGGTAAACAATTCCACAGAGAAGTTGTACGAGGAAGAAAACTCTTAGTAAAACGCACCTGCCAAGCATCCAGATGGTGAGGATGGTATCGTGAATTATGACGCGATGTGCGTTCGTGAAATTTGGCGGCTGGAATTAATCCGAACAATTCCTCAGAGGTAAATCCCCGTGGTAAATTCGATAGAAAATGCAAAGAGATGCAACATCCCTACGCAGTGCCAGTGTATCGAGCCGATCAGAAAGAACTCGGTCGTCGAGTTTTAGAGATCTCGTGATGAGTCAGTCAGTCAGTGGTATTTCGCTTATTATACATATAAAATATAGAAGATATTATTACATCATGGACTAATTTTTAATTTATTTTTATAGGATGGGGTGACAAACGAGTACACAGTCCACCTGATGGTAAGTGGTTGCTGTGACCCAAAGACATCTACATCTATCCATAAAGACTCAAAATGCAGATGCGTTATCTTTTCCCGTACAAAGGGTCTCCGGTTCTTTACACTCTCCATACGAAACACAGCAATGTTAAGCTGCTATTTTGCGCTGGTATTCTGTGAGAGCGTGGTCCTTCCCTGGTCGAGCCGACTCATTCGTGCTACAACTATAGTACCTACTAATATAGCTGCAGCATGGCATTTTAATTTAAGTAGATTAACTTTTACAAGTCGATAAGTAGGTACATACATACATAAGTAGTACATTACACATACATAAGTAGTACATTAGATCTTATATATTAGTTTGTCGATACGTTTTAAAAACAGTCAAAACATTATTTAGGGGATTTTAACCGTAATTTATAAAATTAAGACTTATTTTCTGAAATCAAATATATCAATTATATAAAAACAGATTTAGACGGCGAAGGAAAACATCGTGAGGAAACCTGCATGTCTGAGAAATAAGAAAAAAAATATTTCAAAGACATGTGAAGTTCGCCAACACGCATTGGGGCAGCGCGGCGGACATTTTCTTGCCCCAAAACCCTCTCAGAAATGAGAGGAGGCCTGTGCCCAGCAGTGGGACGTAAATACGCTGCAACTTTACTTTTTTTTACTTAGAATTAGCTTTTGTTTCCTAGTTTGTGTATTTCTAATAATAATAATAATGATACAAATTTTGTATCTTTGGTCAGTAATTTATATTTTATATACAAAAATTGCGTGTATATATTCATATATGCACACAGCGACTGCCTTGTTGATCTAGTGGACGTAGGAGCCATTGCTAATCAAGAGATTCTGTGTTCAAATCCCAGGTCAGGCCAAAATATAAATTATTTAGTTTTATTTAGTGTGTCAATTAATCTATGCACTATTCACAGGTTCACAGAGTGACTTCAATTACATAAATTATATGTGCCAAGTTCCATTGAAATCGGAAAAGTTTCAGATGAGATAAAATAGCAATTAATAATAAATAAATAAAAGATGTGCGAGTAATTGTGTACACACGTACGACCTGAAACTTCTTTACGACAAATCATTCTTCTTTTATTTTATATTTTACGTATGTACGTTAAATAATAGCATACACATGCAGCCCCGGTGGTGAAACGTTACAAGAAAACGTGATGTTTTTAATTTTTAATACTGTACTAGAATAAATTTCGTCACTACTACTATTATTTATTCTGTGCCACTACGGCAATAAAGAAGTTTCAGTTAAAATTGCATCGATAAGAGGGCTACACTACCCTCTGCCACATAACTTTGGACCAATCTAGTATCTCACATTTTTTTAGCCTACTTCAAAAAAAAAATGAAAGAGTGTAAATCCGAATTTGAAGATTTTTTTTATTAAATAGTTTATATTTTAGACTAGCTTTTTACCCGCGGCTTCGTTCGCGTGGCAAATTTAGCGAAATTCGATCACTTTTAGAGTCACTTCGGTGTCTGTGTCTCTATGTCTGTCAAAGATTATTTTTTAATTCTAAAAGATTATTAGACGTAGATTAGGTATTTGGCATAGATAGATATAATATGCCACAGGAACACGTGAATATATATGTCTAGAAACATATACTATTTTTTATATCGGGCGTGTCTTCCGATGTATCTATAAGAAAGGTAAATTGTATCGTAATCAAAATTTATTATTATCTATTATTTACATTTTACTCTTTACATTCATTCATAATTAAAATTAATTTAGTTTTAACAAAATAATGATGAGTTTCACGGTCTTCTATCAATTTACGGCATAATGTTTATTTGGGATATTGTATTCATATCTATCATTGGTCCTATTTAATATTTTGATTGGCACCATAAATTAGACGTAAATATTTTTTTTTACGTTCGAGTAGACTTCAAAATTTAGTATACAGTATACTACACATGGAATAAAACTAATGTTACGGATTTTATCACGTCTAATTTTAACTTTTTTATGTTAGGTTTTATTACGCATCTTTGGATGAAAGTTCCATAAAAACCCACGTAAAAGAACATATAGGTAGTTGATGTGAAACACTGCCGCTTCGGGAAGTCTAAAGTATGTCAACATGTTTAGTATCGTCCCAACCATTATATCGGATCTGATATACAAATCCTTGTAATAGAACACCGATTCCTACCAATGATGATTCGCGGGGCTATTGAAATTAAAAATAAAAACACATGCTAATTTTAATAGGGAAGATGGCTGAGTGGTAAGATTTGCTAAGGGCGCCATAGTTAATAAAATAAAATTCAAACCCAAGCATAGTCCTGCATTTATTCTATTACTATTATATCCTATTCTATTCTTATTCTATTCGATTCTAACTATGACATCAGGTCGTCAAAAACCTCAGTCCTACCGTGACCATGGGTGCTGTAAAATGCCCAAAACATCGGAAATTAAAAAAGTTAAAATTAAACGCCTTAAAATTAGTTTTATTCCTTATAAATTTTACAGTGAACCTGGGGAGCACTACTCTTATGAACGGGAGTAGAAACATGTTCGTCTTGTTGTGGCGGTGAAAGAGAATCCGCCACCTCATATGGTATCGTCGTAAGCAGTGACATATGACCTAGGGCATGACGTGATATAGGGCAGCATCATCTTCCTGACAAAAGATCAAAATAATAATAGCTGCGGTTGCCAACACGCCTACCAAGCGTGGCAACTATTGCAAATATCCAGCTACTTGATAATTTATGCGGGAGGCCTATGTTTATTTCAGTGGACTTTTTTTAGAGTGAAAACAAAAAGTAACATACCTGAAAATATGAATACAATAAAAAATGCATATATTGCCCCATGAAAAGTAAAAAATTGCAGCTCAAATACACGTTACTACTGGGCAATGGCCGCATAAAGTTTTTGGCCAAAAAAAGTGTTCGCTGTGCTGATTCCAATGCAGGATGACCTCAACTGGGAAACTTCTCAGATATGCAAGTTTTCCTTAACCGCCGAGAACGTGGTAAATCGACACTTCAAATTGCAATTAATATATAATATGCTGAAATATTGAATAATGCTTACGTACCATGAAATTTAAGTTTTTATCAGTAGGATTACCGCCTTTGACAAGTAAAATAAAAAGAACCTTTGTTTAAAGCAGTTTAAGTAAAATTTGCTTTAAAAAAAAGAGCCTGTTAATTTATAAAATGTGTATTTATATGAGCTATGAAACCAAGACTGTCACAAATATCTTAATATGTCCGAAAATATGAAAGCTACCTTAAATTACAAAGTGATTATAAATCTCATTAAAGGTAAAAAAGTAAAGTAGCAGCTAATATACGTCTCACTACTGTACACAGGACTCCTCATTACCTATAGTGTTTTGTGGGCAGAAAAATAGAGAACGCTGCAATGTTTTAACATGTCATGTTAACGGTTTTCACATCTCCACGACTATTTTAACTACTCAGATATCTAGGTTTCCCCACGAAGTTATTCTTCACCACTTTAACTGACACGTGTTAAGTCAGCACGTAAAGTTTTCTATAACAGAATAATCCTCGTACACGCTTTGCTCCCGTGCCATGATGAAATCTCACGGCGAGAGCTATACGGCCCTCATATTTGTTTAAATACAATTCATTAAAACTGAAACTAAGTTTTTGCATGATTGTTGACCACATCTACCTAGTAATTACACATCCAACGTTGCCACGAACGAATTTTCAATTATTTACATCGTATATTCAGTAGCATTCTATTATTTAATTATATCAGATACTTACAATTTTAGTTTGTTTAGTGATAAGTAGATGGCGCTATTATTAGATTAAATAATGAAAGCCAAAACTATATTATCTAATTATATCAGCAATAGAAGTGAACATTTATTTTGTTTATCAATAAGGCATAAAGTGATGACAATTCTGTTAAAAGTTCTCTTTTTGTTAAAAATATACGCTATCAGCGCCGGTAGCGGTGAAAAACGATTTAATGATATCGTCATATGACCATATCATGAAATAGCAACGTTTCTAGTTAGTAATATCTTAAAACGATTTCTATTTATTGATTTGGTCAAGCTATATCATGAGATGGTCAACAAACAGTGTTAAATATCATGAAATGACCACACCATATCACGAAATGATAGACTACTTTATATGATCTATTCTACGATCTAGCCACGACATATATAAAAATCTCTTTAATAAAACTATAATGATAATAAAAATTTTGCAATAATTGCAGACAGACCAGTTTTAATCAGTTTACATATATATTAGTAATTGAAATAAAAACCTTATCAATTTTCATATTTTTGATTGCTCTTCTATTAAAATTATTACACTTTTAAAATAAAATAACAAAAATACTAAAAAACTAAACGTTACAGTTTTTAAATAATTTTAAAAATCTTGTTATCTTATTATTTAAACATATAAATGCAAGTTACTTATATTATTTTATTTATTAGTAACTGAAGGCAAAATATACTACTTTTTTCATTTGATGATAGATGGCGCTGTTTTCATAACTAAATCGGTGTAATTTCAAATTATTTTACCAAGTTTATAACTATATTTTATACTTTATTTATAAATATGGTATTTATTTGAAAAACACTCGTCATCCCATCTATAACTAAGATATAATAGAAAATCAACATCTAAAGGAAGGAAAATACTTAACCTTCTTTTTTGAAGTTCCGTAATCGGATAAAAAGTAGCCTATAAGTTGCCCCGGGTTACTAACTACCTATATACACAATTTCATGTAAATCGGTCTAGTAGTTTTTGCGTGAATCCGGAATACACAGACAGACAGACAGACAGACAGACAGACACATACAGACAGACAGACAGACAAAAATTCTAAAAACCACTGATTTGGGTTCAGAACCCTTTATTTAGTCCCCTGGACTTGTTTTTTCAAGAATATATTAGAATTACAGACACGACTTTTCTACAGATTTATTATATGTATAGATACGGTGGCAAAAACACTTTTTTAGTTCTTTGTAATCGGCTTTTACTTTTGTAAGGTTATAATTATTATTAATTTTTCGAGAAATTTAGAGATTTCTTAATCTAACTGCGATTTTCAGTTTTTCGAAAATAGTTTTTAAAAAATAAAAAAAGTTTAAAAAAATGGCCCATGAATGCTTTACTATAATTTTGAATAAAAAAATGCATATATCTTAATCAGTGAGATGCAAAAATTTTACCTTACCTTTTTTATTTAAGGCATAAGTTAATACCTCTTCAATGTTTCGATAACGTGGTCTGATGTTGTTAGGTCTGGAATTATGACTTACAACGGGAAAATATTTATTTAGTAGTTCCAAACAATGATCGGTATTATTTTTTATTTGAAACTTTATTTTTCGTATCTACAATACCATGATCATCATTGTTAATACAATTTACATGCAAAATAAAGAGTAAAATACGATTTTAAAGGACTATACGTACTTCTTGAGCTGTTCGTCTAATGAATAACACCAAAACGTCTCCTTTATAAATACCTTTAATTTTTTCATTCATATTGATGGTTTCCAAAACTTTACTCTCTGTAGTAATAAGTAATTGGTCGCACAGTATTCGTAATGACATACTAATGCATTCATTGGGACCATATTTTTTCCAGCTATCAACCCGCCATAGCATTAATTTATCAATCGACACTACCAGTGAATCTGAAATAGTATAGAAAAAGAAAAGATTTCGTTAAAATATTCTATTAAAACTAAAATATTTCGCCATTACTTAGTCCTATAAATTACTATAGATACTTTATGACTTACAAGACATTATTAGTAGCGGTTAAAAAATAAATCAAATGAACAACGTATGTAATATATAGGCGGGAAAAACTTTCTTTTTTTGCTAACTAAGGAAGGCAAAGGAATACTACATTTGACACTGCTAAAATATTCAAATCTGATGATTCTATCAATTAAATAATAGTTTTAAGTGAATTTGAATACACATAGTGGTGCGATTTTGTTTATTAAGTGACAGTGCATGTGAACTATTAGTGGAAACGATGTAACAAATGTTTCAATGGCGATATAAATATTTTGTTTTTTTATCCGCCTAGGGGATATTATGGTGACCAACAGCCCGCTAGGCTTAGCTATCGTGGAAATTTCCCAAGAATTTCGCAATGTTCGTTAGCATATACATATTATAATATATGCTATATTGAGGCAGCCTCGTTTGTCTAGTGGTCATAAATGCATATGCTGATCATGAGGTCCCGGGTTCAAATCCCGGGTTAGGCCAAATTCTGCTATCGAGTTTTTGTATCAAGACATAGTACTCAATAGCATGACAGGAGTCAGAAAAATTGGCGGTGTTTCACCCCCGTGCCTCTGAAAGCACGTAAAGCCGTGGGTCCTGCGTCCTGCGGTCGTGTCCGTTACCGTACCATCGGACTAAGAGAATGAGGGAATAGGGAGTGCACTTAAGGTAGCGCAAACACTCGGGCACTATAATCCTGTACTGCGCAAATGGTTATAAGCTCCTTTGAGACTGGCCGCCTTGACCGAAAATTAGTCTGGACACCTTGTATATATACCTAGTCAGGTCATAAGTATTGTCACACAGTAAAAACTTTTCTTTTAGAATGCTGGCCACAAAAAAGTTTATTGTATTCGAATTTCGAATCGTTCATGAAAATAAAACTGTATATTTTTTAGAATTTTACTCATTTTTAAATATGGAGTGGACGCTTAAAGAAGACCGTGTTGCAGTTATTGCGTTGCATCGTTGCGGTTACGCGCCAATTCAAATTTTTGACATACTGAAAAATTTGAATATAACCAAAAGATTCGTTTATCGTACCATCAAACGATACAATGAAGACTCTAGTGTAGATGACAGGTCAAGAAGTGGTCGCCCTCGGTCTGTTAGGACTCCAGCAGTGATAAAAGCTGTGAAGCCGCGAATTCAAAGAAATTCCAAACGTAAGCAGAAACTGTTGGCCCTTCAGATGGGGTTAAGCAGAACCACGGTGAAAAGGGTGTTAAATGAAGACTTAGGGCTTCGGGCATATCGAAGAAAAACAGGACATCGTTTGAATGCTCGTCTAATGGACCTGAGACTGAAGAGATGCCGCGCTTTGTTGAAGCGGTACGCGGGAAAAAAATATCGGGAAATTCTTTTTTCGGATGAAAAAATTTTTACCGTAGAAGAGAGCTACAACAAACAAAATGATAAGGTGTACGCACACAGTAGTGAAGAAGCGAGCAACCGTATTCCGCGTGTCCAACGAGGTCATTTTTCATCCTCGCTCATGGTATGGTTGGGAGTTTCTTATTGGGGCTTAACAGAGGTACATTTTTGTGAGAAAGGTGTAAAAACGAATGCAGTTTTGTATCAAAATACAGTCCTGACGAACCTTGTGGAACCTGTTTCTCATACCATGTTCAATAACAGGCACTGGGTATTCCAACAAGATTCGGCGCCAGCTCATAGAGCGAAGAGCACACAAGACTGGCTGGCGGCGCGTGAAATCGACTTCATCCGGCACGAAGACTGGCCCTCCTCCAGTCCAGATTTGAATCCGTTAGATTACAAGATATGGCAACACTTGGAGGAAAAGGCTTGCTCAAAGCCTCATCCCAATTTGGAGTCACTCAAGACATCCTTTATTAAGGCAGCCGCCGATATTGACATGGACCTGGTTCGTGCTTCGATAGACGACTGGCCGCGCAGATTGAAGGCCTGTATTCAAAATCACGGAGGTCATTTTGAATAAACTTTAGTGTCATAAGAATCTATGTTTTGTCCAGTCCATTTTGGTATATAAATGGTTACATAATGAATAAACTTGTTTCAATTATTTTATATTAAACATGTGACAGAATTTATGAGCTGACTAGGTATAGAGGTCAGTGGGTCTGGAGGACATATGCTATATTATAGCATAATTGTGAGGCATAGAATTATTACGCAATAATTCTATGTTGTGAGGATTTTTGGTGGACGAAATACAAATCAAACTATACTCTATGGTCTACCTATGTTGTAACAAAAACAACTTCCGGTTTAAAAAAGTACTCTGTGAACTAGCTCTTCTTACGTAGATAGAGGATTGACTATGTCTTCTTATTAGTTCAATAAACAACAACTCTGTGGTAGTGTTGAGTAGGACTGATTTAGAAACACGTTAGTAGAGTAGCTTCTTTTTTGTTCTAAGCCAGTACACTCATTTGAATAAGCCTCATTTGAATTTTTCAATATTCAAATGAGGCGAGGTGTCTTTAAGTTTGACGGGACATTTGATGTAACGGGTACGTATTTTAGTGTTGCTGTAATTTTTATTTAATTAATTATATACTCATTAAATTTTCAATTTTAAAAATTGTGGCGCTTGCCACCGCCCCCTTTCGTATGCTACCCAGGATCATGGCCCCCTCTGCCCCCGCCCCTCCCCCTCCCAAGCTACGCCACTGACGTGACCTCAAAGTAATCACTAGTAAGTAGCAATCCTAAAATAAAAACACAATTCTTGTAGTCGAACTCCTTATGCATATGACGTTTTACGTGGCACAAAATAAGATAGCTATATTATTTTATATCTTCCAACAATGTTTCTCTTTTGCCTTTTGAAAACTAAATTAAACAGAATGAGACTTGTATATTGAACAATTTATGTAGCATTATAGGTTATCTCTAATACATAATTATGTATGTAACTACTTGGAGACGGAACGTGACAAAATTTGAAGTAATACATGTCAAATTGTTCTTGTATGTCCTAGTCCTACTCAACACAACTCAGTGGTAGTGGTATACACAAATTATAAAGGGAGTTTTGGCGGGAACTTGACCGATTTGCGCGATTATTTTGAACGTGAGTGTCAAAATGGCAGACCGCTGTTGCCTGTCGCTGCAACTCTGCCCCCAACTTGTAACTTGGGTACACGTTGGCAACAGATTTGGCGATGCTCTTGGCATCGGTCATACGACGGTGTCTCGTATAACGCAAGAAAAGTATGACTCGCCATCATCAACTCAAGCGATAGAGGTAGACATGGAAAAAAAATTATCGGTGCCGAATAAGAAAAGAAGGAAAGTTTCGAGTATCATTGCAATCGACGACTTTGATGCTACCGTAATACGCAACTATGTATACGCGTATTATAGACGTGCTGAATATCCCACAATAAGAAAATTAATAGTGTCCCTTAAAGACTCTGATTTATATAAAGTCAATTTGCAGTCACTGGCCACCAACCTACACAAAATTGGCTTCGTTTATGAAAAATGCGATATAAGAAAAATAATAATGGAGCGCACAGATATTGCCTTGGCACGGGTGGACTTTTTGAGAAAACCCAAACATATTTCAAATTGGGATAAAGTCGTATTTCTGGATGAGTCGTGGTTCAATGCGAACCACACTGTACCGAAAGCGTACACCGATAGACCGGTAGACCGATTTCCCTTCTAAGCCGCGTCTACGTGCTGTTTTCGAGAGTCATTACGAATCGTCTCGCACGAATTAAGATAATGAATCAGACTTCAATAAAAAATATATTTATTTATTTTGACAGAGTCACAGTAAGAAGTTTATTACTACAATATTCAATATTAACTGATTACAGTTGTCTATATATACTTAAGTTATATGCTACAAAACTATTTACTAAGCTTATTTACTGCATACGCTTGACCCAGATGGGATTGCTAATGACGTGCGAACGAATGAGACTTGGCAGGGGTGCTCAGCCTTAACCCCTCCCCCCTCAAGAGAGAAACTATCCGAAGGTGGCTCAAGCGACTTCGGAGAATTTCGAGAACATAATTTGAATCTAATTAAAATGCTACATACTATACAGATTACTATAATGAGATATAAACTTATGGTCCATACACTGATTTCACTTGTTACTAAGAATTTTGTATTTATTTCGTTATCACTGAATTTAGCCCTATTTATTGGTTCTTTTATACGAGTATCACTGAAGTCCACGTCTCTTAAATCAAACTGTTTTGCTTCTTTCTTGATGTCATCTTCTCGTACGGTTGGCATCTCGATTGTGGGAAGCTGAAGTTTGATATTCGCAAAATACCTCGGAGCGTTGATGAATGTGTCTCCAACTTGTGTTCTGCATTCTTGATTAGGTATCATTATATATGTGGATTCTATTAGGTATCATTATATATGTGTGTATTCTGGACAGTGTTCAGTTATTATCAAGGCTTTAGTGGTATACAATAGTTCTTGAAGATCCTCTGAATTTTCAAATTCTCCAATCGTATATTATGTTGCTGGCAGCTACTGTGGTTGGTTTTCATCTGCATTATTTGTTCAATACATGTTTCGGCTGGATACTCTGCGAGACTTTGCTCTAGGCATAAGAATTTTTCATCGTCGATTTCTTCACAGGGACTAACCGCTGATCTGTATTTCAATCTTTTCACCAATAGAAAATGATATGATGGGATTATGATATGGGTAACATCGTAATTGGATATTGGAATTGGTATTATTTTGTAGTGTGTGTGAACTTTAATTTTATTAATTTATGAAAAGTTCATTGTTTACTTCTATTGAAATTATTTTTTATGGTTTAAAATGTTTAACTAAATGAATTATATACATTAAAGCCTTTTCGAAAGTTTCGTGGGAAGTAGGGTTCATAACAATATAAATATTTCTCTTTAATGTAAAATAGTGG